CAGTACTATTGTGCTCTCTCATCGCATTTATATTTAATGTGAATATACGCATTATTTGAATTTTATTTTATCATTAATATACATTTATTAAATTTTTAAAAAATTACAGATTTGACCCAATAACTAAATTGAAATATAATCAACATTCATGAATTTACAATAGAGACCCTATAATTTATCAAATTTTTGAAAAAAAAAATCATAATCTCCAGATTTCCAATCTGTCAGGTGTCGCCGTTCATTTCCGCCGCTGCTGGCCAGAGACCTTCTCTTCCAAAGCTGTCACCCCCTCCACCGCCGCCAGTGAAGTCTCGGGCCTCCGCTTCTCCCAATTATTTATTTATTTATTTATCATTATTATTATTTGGCCATTAATGGCGGAGCTCGAAGTTCCATTTTCACGGGCCATTTCACGAACTAACACTTCAGACTTGGTCGGAGGCAGAGCTTCACCGTGCATTTGGTGTAGTAGAGGGCATTGAAGAGGACGTCCTTGGCGGTGAAGATGGCGTCGGGCCGCCGCCTCGATAGTGAAGAATCAGAGGTCTGGTTGGTCTGGAAGGATAGCGGCAGATGCTCGCCAACAGTGAGGGTTGAACGGTGGTTGTGGGTGGCGCTTGGTCAGCCGCCAACGTGAAGATCGGCGGAAACGGGCGGGTATCGTGTGTGTGAATGTGTGATTGCCTCGTGATGTGTTTGTGCATGTGATGTGTGTGTGCGTGCGTGTGTTGTGTGTGTATGTGCATGTGTCTGTGTGTGTGTGGATGGTGACGTGACGTTTGTGTGAGAGAAAGAAAGAGAGAGAGAGAGAGAGAGAGAGAGAGAGAGGGAGGGAATGAGAGAGATGTGATGTGTCAGGTGGAGCCCACGCGTGAGTGGGTGTGTGGTGGCGTGGTCTCACTGTTTGGATGTAGAAAATTACCACATTACCTTAATGAATATATAATTGACTTTTTTTTAGCCATTAGATCATCCAATCTAATGGGTACGATGTATTTTTATTTTTCACTGAGTACATTCTCGCTGAAGCGTAACCATATATATAAATAAATATATATATATATATATATATATATATATATATATATATATATATATAGATTTTGTCTTGTTAACTAACTTATTGAAATGAACATGGCCTATATGGAAGTAACACTTGATAAATCCACTACCATTATTGATATATAACTATAGTTTCTCTTCCAATATTACTTTTGTGGTTAAATTAAATAAATTTGATTCTTGCTGGAGTTGCATAAATATGGGCTCTCGAACATGATCGAAAACGGTGTCAAAAGAATCTGTGCATGTTAGTGCAAGGGATATTTGTTAGAACTTAGAATCATACAACAAAGAAGAATCTTTTGTTTTGTTTCTCCAATATTTCACACATTTTTAAATAATATTAATCCATAAATAAAATTAATCAATTATTGTGTGTGCATCCACCCCACCACCATAATAATAAAGCTTCATGATCTGAACAATTACTTGGGAAAGAACATGCAGCCCATCTGGGTCGTTTTAACTTTTATTATTTTAAAAGTTGAAAAAAAAAAAAAGTGCAAACAAATGTATTTCAGTATTTGTTTGAATATGTGGTATCATGTGTTTGATAATCAATAAACAACACCAAAAGTTGAAAAGGTGTTGGGAAACCATGTGAAATGGGGTACCTGAAGTTACATCTGCACCTTCCATTCCATACTCTTCTGCGCCCATTATACTACGGGGCCACAAATACTTGTATAGTTGGTATGCGGAAATCTTCTATTAAAAAATGTTTATAGTTTAAATATTAATTAAAATATAGACGGAAACAAATATAATTAACTTTCTTATTAAGTTATTATAAACTTTCTAACATATTACTATATGTAATTATTTTTATATTCGTTATATATTATACAATGGAAAAAGAAATCCAACGGTACTTCAAATTTTCAACTCATCGATTACTCAATCAATCAACTTAAAATATCAAGTAAACAAAAATAAATTTAACCAGAGTTATCGAATTAATTACATGAATTATAAACTTTAATATTTCCATTTTATTATAATTGTTTTATGAGATATTACATTATTTCTATTATAGGATACACTGTTAGCAACAAATTTATACATAGCTTTCTAAAATTTTTGTTCTCTTTTCATTGTGAGAGTCAATTCGAAATACTTAAATCATAAGAGCACACATAATGCTTTGAATACAATCACAAAAAATTGAATGCCACCTAAGAAAACAACTAGTTTAAAAAAAATATATTCTCCAATTCAAATAAAAGTAGACTGATGGCAGCTAGAAAAAGAGACTCAATCTACATTTTAAGTCTATTTTAGACTCAAGTAGAGACTTAGTATCTTTGTATTGGAATGAATTTTATCACTTTTATATAATTTTATCCATGTCATCCAAGACTTGGGTTTATTTACATCCACATAAGTCAGGGTTTTCTAGTTCCATTCTTTGGATTCTCTTATCTCTTGCTTAGATTGCTCTTTGGTTTTTGGTTTGAATGCTCGTGTGTATTCTCTTCCTGGGGTGCTTTGCGTGGGTTGATTTGGGATTAGGGTTTAGTCGAGTTTTTAGGTTCAATTTCTTGCAGGTAAGTTTGGATCCCTTGAAGGCAACTACCATGTGAGATTATGGTTTATGTCGTTGAAGATGGAGTAGGACATCATTGATAAACTGCACAAGTTTGAACTCTCTGAGAAGGAGAAAACGGGAACAACAGATTCGAACACTGATATTGAGCCGAGACTTCAGGAGTGTTTTGATTGGAAAGATAGTGGGAGAAAAAAGGCTGGCATTGAGGTTTCGCACTTCGATGGGGGTCATATGGAGAACAAGCAGGTCATTCTCAATTCGTATTCAAGGAAAAAGAACTTATTCCAATTCCTCTTTCAATCAGAGGAAGACAAATGCAAAGTCCTAAAAGGAAAAACATGGACCTCTGATGGACAATATCAGCTGCTTAAAAAATGGAAAAAAAGATGAAGTGGAATTTAGAGAGGAAGAGCTAAAAGTAGAGTTGTGGGTCCAAATCTTTAATTTACCATTGTATTGTATATCAGCCGAAACGGGAATGAACGTGGGTTAACTATTTAACAGAGTGTTTGATGTTATAGTGCCAGGAGCAGGCACTGTTAATGGAAGAATGATGAAGATTTTGGCTGAGATTGATGTCACTGAGCCCATCCCTCGAGGAACTACAATAAAATTGGGGAAGGAGGAACAATGGATTGAGTTCAGGTATGAAAATTTACTCAATTTTTGTTTCTACTGATAGGGCATAGTGATAGACACTGTGAGACACAAAAGTTAGATGTATAAAGCAATGTTTTCAAATGGGGACTGGTTGAGAGGATCAGTAGGGGGTTTAGGTGATTTAAGGGATATAAGGTCATCAAGTCCAAATAGTATTAAGGTAAATTCTGAGTCCAATAAGATGAAAAAAATGGTTGAGAAGGGTACTAATAAGGTAATCTCAGAACCAACAAAGAAAATGAGGAAGAGGTGCCAGTTGAAGGTGAGGGTGAGAGTGAAAAAAAGGGGATGGTAGAGGTCTCGGATATACAATTCATGATATGGATCAACAAAAAAATGGCGGATAGTCCTAAATTATGAGGATTTCGATTTGGGCGTGCGATTCTTGAATATTAAAAAATATGATGCATAATCGTTAATTATACGATGTTATAGATTTGTATATGCGAGTCGTAAACTGCAAAAATATGTCGCATAACATAAAATATGTGAAGTTCGATTTGGATATGCCATAACAGAATATACGAAAAGTTATCGCATATGTTGAATTAAGCGGTGGATTTGTATAGGCGATTCGTAAACTATGCGATAACATGTCGCATAACATAAAATATGCAACGTTTGATTTGGATATGCGATAACACAAGATGCGAAAAGTTATCGCATATAGTAAATTAAGCGGTGGATTTAGATATGTGATTCGTAAATTATGCAAAAATATGTTGCACAACAAAAAATATGCAACGTTCGATTTGGATATGTGATAACAGAATATGCGAAAAGTTATGGCATATGGTAAATTATGCGGTGGATGTAGATATATGGGAGTCGTAAACGATGCAAAAATATGCCGCAAATATAAAATATGCGAAGTTCGATTTGGATGTGCGATAACAAAATATGCGACAAGTTATCGCATATGGTCAATTATGCGGTGGATTTGGATATGCGAGTCGTAAACCATGCGAAAATATGTAGCATAACATAAAATATGCGACGTTCGATTTGGATATGCAAGTCATAAACTGTGAAAATATATCATTAGAACATAAAATACGCGACGTTCGATTTGGATATACGATAACAAAATATGTAAAAAGTTATCGCATATGGTAAATTATGTGGTGATTTAGGATATGTGAGTCATGAAGTATGTGAAAATATGTCGCATAACATAAAATATTCGAAGTTCGATATAGATATGCGATAACATAATATGCAAAAAGTTATCGCATATAGTAACTATGTGGTGGATTTTGATAAGCGAATCGTAAACTATGAGAAAACATGTTCCATAATTGTAAAATATACGGCTATCAATTTTGAATATCCTATAACTATATATGCAAAATAATTCCACATAGTAAATTATGCGTGAATTTTAATATGCAATAACAATACATGCAGAAGTATTCTGTCCTATTTGAAGCGTTGATATATATGCAACAATATCTCACATAATTGTTAATTATACAGTTCATTTGAAGCGTTGATCCATGCTTTTTTACAGTTCCGAGTGTTAGTAAAAACATCGGGAAGAGGAAGAAACATATTTGCTCCCACCAGCGGGAAAAAAAACACACACACACACACACATACGCGCGCGCACACACACACGAATGAATGAAGCTTGACTTGTGGCCCGGGACAAAAAAGAGCCACAAAGGTATTCCTCCTTCTATATCAACATCTCTCCAAATCATCCCAATGTACCATTAAAGGGTATTTCCTATGAACCCAGAATAAAAGCATGGATCTCGGCCCAACTAGATACTGTATATAAGACACCAGTGAGAGCCTTCCAACTACAAGACCTACCTTCTGTCAACTGTTTCTGTTTGTCAACCACACCTGCAAACAAAGGTACAAATGAAACTCCAAAATGACTTCCCACTCTTCTCAGACTCGAGCTCGAGCCTATAACGATACCAACGTCAGCTTCGAGCAAGCACAGCAAGTCACCAACTGAATCTCCTATATATACACTCAGAATCTTCCCATCCTTGGCGCTGTTCTTTATGATGTCAGTAAAAGCTTCAACTTTATCAATTGGAGACTCGACCTTCTTGACAATTTCGCCCGTGGATACAAAGTTTTCGTAGATGAACTCGTTTGCATGAACAGTCACGGGGTTTAATCCACCTGTCCGAGACTAAATTAAATTAGTTTACCAAAATCCAAATATCACTTCTATGGAACAAAGTTATTAGTATCCACGCCCATTGAGATTCTCAATGACTCGAAACTAATGACAAGATGAGACGCAATAGAAATTCAGAATCTGAAAATAAATAAATAGTAGCAGTAGCTCTTTTCCTGTTTATTTTAATGAAGGAATATCAAAGGCAACTGCCCTTAATTGTTTAATAGAAAATTCACAGTAATTTGCATAACGATAAATCCAAAATTTATTGACTAGAAACCAAGGAAAAGCCACCAAACCCAGGAAAAGAGACCGCACCTGAGGAGAAGGCAGATCTGATGAGATCACCACACCAGCAATAGGATAGGACATGAATGCATGTGTTCAAGTCTTCATTCCTAACAACACTTGAAAAGAAATCTTTGCAGCCATCTTGGAGAATGAGACGTTCTCCAGCTCTCCTTATGTCATCAAGACTCAGACCTTTAAGTACCCCAGAATCAATCACCCTCAAGTTTGCCTTTTTCTCAAAATCGGAAAGATGCTGAAGTGCTTTACAGAGCCCTTCATAATCAAAATTGCCCCCTATAAACCACAAATTTTCTCGAAACTTAGCCACCTTATTTTCAGAACAAAATGCATGCTGATAGAGTAAAGAGCACAAAGTCGTAAATGGAAAAAATGGAACTCCATATTATTGAATGATAGCATGAAAAGTAAAGGCACAGGGTCCCCCGGGTTTTTGCCCAAGCCAAAAGATATTTCTAGTACCCTATCATTCATCTCGTTCCTATCATTTATAAAACTAATATTCCAAATTCTATGCCCCGACATCAGCCATTGATATGCTAAGATCTCCCGAATCAAATATGTTCCCTAGGATCTTTCCAATCAATTATTCCCATATCTACTTATCTGTCAACTATTCCATAAATTACTTGGAAAACTAATTATATCATCAGTCTTAAGGTTGGAATCAGAATATATTTGTATGCAAAATCCCTCCATTCCACTTCTATAAGTTAACATGGCATTCAGTTTGATAGCTTCTAACGACTTGAAGGGGTTAAGGTTTTCCCTATGTGGATCCATCAGATTGTGGATCAATTTTTATTAGGCCATAGAAGTGATGTTGGGAAGTGATGGTGCAGAAATTGAACCCAATCCTTGCTAATTCCCTCCATGCCCAGAGTTGTCCAATTCCCAGACTAACAGCTGAAGATCAGTATATGAATAAGTGAAAAAGCGAGTGTGTGTGTGTGTGTGTGTGTGAGAGAGAGAGAGAGAGAGAGAGAGATTAATTTCCACTCACCTTCTCTTGGAAGCAAGGCACTTTCTATGCAATGCTCATACTCTTCAGTATACTGCTTAGAAAGTTCTGCCCATGTACTTCTTAGATCGATGGAAGACATTCGAACAAGTTGATTAGCTGATTGACTTTGATCAGATTTTGGAGCAGTTAGAATAGCTATTTCCGCCAGGATAGCAGATGAATCCACAACAGTGCATGTCAAATCAAAATCGGAAAACAGCATGAGACAATGTTCTGCTGGATTGTGCTCTTTGCATAGAGGAACAACAGTTTTCTGAGAAAGTGGCTGGGCTAGGAAAAATTCTATTTCCAGTTTCATAGCTTGATTATAAAGCTTTTCAATAACATCAAGTTCTTCGCCGGTCAAAGACACACTCAACTTGTCCAGCAGGTCCTCTGTTTGCAAAGCTGAAGCCTGAATCAGCAAAATAAACAGTAAGATATATGTACGATGTGTATCTAATTTTGGCTTTGTTGAGTGGAGTCAACTTTGGATACCAAAGTGCACTAAGTGTGCCTATAACTGTTAAGACTGACCTGAAAAGCATCAGATGAATAAGTGTCGATCCATTTTCGATATGGGTGAACACCTTCATTGAAGTCAAGAAATGCCTGCAACTCCTTTCCCAAGAAGGCATAAAGCCTCATACAAGGAGTCATAGCACCAAGAGTATATGCCGCCAATTTTGTTTTTTCAAATGGAGTATCTAGTTTACCAAGAGCTTTTACTCCTTCAACCTTTCCGGATGCTGTGGCTAGCAAAAAATCAGTATACTTATTTGTTGCAACATTTGGAGTATTCTCTTTGGGTAACTCAAAACCCCATTCCTGCATATTTTCAATAAGGAAAATAATCACAATAAACATACATCCACCTCACAGAAGCGTTATAAGAAACTAGCAGCTCTATGGTAGATGAAAGAAACTCATCATAGAAATAATGACAACTAAGCATTGGATATGAAATCAAACGAAAATCTGAAGAGGCACAACATTCACACAAACAAACATAAAATGACACCATAACCTAGAATTATAATATACACCCGAGTTTTCTTTTGACATTCATTCCAGTGATTAAAATAGCACGCGGCCAACCGAGACGACAAGCCTCCTATTTGCCACGGCGTGGGGTGAAGCGGGTCATCATACAAAATATAGAAATATATCATACAACTCACCAGTATGACACAATTATGCACCATGGCCAATTTGTACATTCCATTCCTAACTTGAAACGGGGAAAAAAAAAATAATAGTCCAAGGCAACAGAAATATGAACATGTGAATTCAATGTCGCCGATTACATAAGTTTCACTCTAAAAGTAGGCAGAAGAAAAACGAAAAACATTCAAACAAATGTTGAAGAAGTCTGTACATGGCCACATTGAAAAAGCAGGCAGAAGAAAAGAGAAAAACATGCAATGGCACAAATTGGACATTCAACAAAAGTCTACCACTATCAACTCCAAAAATTGGAAAACATACCCCAGTAGCCATAGGNAAGAAGAAGAGAGAGAAAAAAATAAAAGAAGACGGTTAAATCTTGGCTGCTGGCAGCACAACTTGAATGACCTCCGGTGCCGGCAGCGGAGGCAACATCCATAACCAACCGCAGACCTCACTCAGCCATCCAAATAGAAACAGGTATCTAAGTGAAGCTGTCACCACTGCCGGAAAGCCGCTAAAATCTGTTCTCCTCGGTCAGTTGAAAAAAAGGCACAAGTTGATTGAGGATTTGGTTCGAGAGAAAAGGTTTAATTTGGAAATAAGAAATGAAACCCGCAAGTGGTAACCCTAATTTTTTAAAATACCCCCACCCTCGCCTCATCTCTCTGTGGCGCGATCCTCACTGAGGCGTTGCCTCACATGTGGCAAGCACCTTTCAAAACCTCACAGAAAAAAGGCGACGCTAGCTCCCTCCAAGTTGTTCTCTTTCTTATTTGTCTATTTTTCTGTCTTTATGTCTACAGACATAGCTGATCATATGAAGATTTCAACGGATGACGACAAGCCAACAAATACATTTCATTTTCTTCAGGTTTAATCCAAGCTATGGCATGTAGAAAATTCTACTGGTTTGAGAAACACTTTCTTTCATAACCATCTATTCTTTAATCTTTGATGACAATTACAAGTCATACAGTGAGATAGACTAAGAGTTGATCAAATTGTTAAGGGGTTCTCCACCATCTTTCACCAAAACCTAATAAACAAGAGGCAAAGCTAACATGGTGGCCACAGCAGCAAATAGTTGTTCTTTAGCAATTCTAAATTGATCCAAGAGTACATGCAATAAATGACAGCGGCATAGTTAAATTAATAGGAAATAACATTTCGAACAAAGAGAAAGATACTTTAACAAAGCGAGAAGCATGTTCCCGGATTCTTATTGACACTTACTTGCACATATGAATTATGCATTTTCAGCTCCTCAAGAACACTTTTCCGCAGTTCATATATTCCAACTTTTGCATCATCGTCGTCTGCAAACTCCTCAGCCAGTTCATACCTAATGCACAATTTTTGCAACCAATATAAAGTCTCCTTCCACTCATACCAGAAAAAGTTGGAGTGGGCAACAAAATGAAAGAGAATTAAACCTATGGACCAGCCCAGGTTTGCATAATCCAGAACATGTAGAAACAAAATATACAGTTAATTATTTGATAAATGGTAATCTTTCTGACTAATTAGCCTTAAAGCATTTAAAGAATTAAAGGGCCCTAAAAAATTTTCTCAGCTTGCAGCGTGAAAATGAACTAGCTAAAGGTCAAGTAATACAGATGTGCAGCAAAGAATTAAGGGAAAAGGAATAAAAGTAGATTGGGATAAAACAAGTAAAGAGTTTCGGCTGACAAAATTTGCAGCGACAACCTTTCTGACTCTTGCTTTGAGAAATAAAACCTAGCATCTTTTTTCAGCTGACAAATTATAGAACAAGATTGAAGGCCTTAAGAATCTTGGAGAAATATATGGAAAACACGTACTTTCTGTTGCAAGAAAATAGTTGAAACGATGTACTACGTGATTACACGTGAAATCATTGAAGGAACTGCTGGATTCTTCCACATTGTCCCCATAAACTACCAGTCACAGGCATGAGAATAACAAATACTGCAAGGTCTTTAAACAACAATAGTGTATAATATTGTCTGCGCTTTAACAACTCCATCCCTACACTCAATCCTTACTCCACCCCAGGTTAATAATCTTATTTATGCAAATAACAGGGCAAAGCACCATGGAAACTTAACGATTTTATCCATGTTAAGATTAAAACTCCCCGTTAAAACAGAACCAAAACTAACATCCCAGGTTTTTATAGGAATGTAGTTCACAGGAACGAAAAGTGAAAAACCAATCAGTTAAATAATCATGAGGATCACTAACGCTTTTGCAAAGGCACGAAGGAAATATACGTCCTGCGCGATATAATGGCGAAATGCCTCGAGTTTGAGAGTTCCGGCAGCCAAACAGACCATAAATGGTGTATAAAGCGCTTGTGTCCACTCCTTTTTGAACTTGATCCAAAATCTGCTACCAAGGCCATCTTCAATCAGCGGCGCCGGCAACTTCACTGTTGCCGACGATGCCATCCGGAATATGACAGAATCGCCGGAGTTTGAATCAGATTTGTATGAACGAAGGCAGGGAACAAACCGGAAAAGAGTAGTAGAAGTTGGCGAGGTTTTGGGCAACAAATTGAGAGGGGGAGATGATAGGGTTTTGAGGAAAGATAACAGAATTTGCATCAAAAAACACGATTTCTCGTAATACTGTTAATCTACCACTCCTGATTGATCAATTGTTTACACTTCCAATTTCAGGTGTAATTCCGGCGTGGAGGAGGCGGTGGCGGGCGGAGGAAGTGGTGGTGATAGCAAATAACGAAGAGGGTGTAGTGTTTATTAGAATTAATTTTGAGAGTATAATAAAATTAATTTTTTATTTTGATAAAAATTAATTTTTATTACAATATATTAAAATTTAAAATACATTATTTGCAAAAATATTTTATAAGTGTACGCCAGCCTCACCAAATTGTACATTCTATTATGTACTCCAAAATGGTGTATCCTTATTCGCTTCTGCCCCGGTATTAAGGCTATGTTTGGTTCAAAGGAGGGGAGGGGAGGGGAGGTGATTTAATGGAAGGGAGGGGAGGGGAGGGGAAGGGAGGGAATGTAATTTTACCTTGTTTGGAGGGATTTTGTAGGAGGGGAGGTGAAGGAAAATGATTAACCTTGTTTGGTTAGAAGATGAAGGAGGAAGGAAAATAAAATTACATGGACAAATATACCCTTACTTATGTTTTACTTATATTGAGTAATTTAGTAATTATAATGAATTGATAAGGGCACATTAGTACAAAAAAGTATAAGACTTAACTTCCCCTCCAAATCCCCCCAAAATTGGAGGGGAGCTGATTTTCCCTCGGGTGGGAGAATGGGGGGAAAATTCTACTCCCCTACCTTGCCAAAAGTTGAACCAAACAGAGGAAAATAAAAATATTCCTTCCCCTCCCTTCCCCTCCCCTTTGATTCCCCCGAATCAAACACAGGGTAATGGCTATCCAATTCCTCACCCAATTACCAATTCCAATTTATCAAATTTCCCACCGCAGATTCGTTATTGATGATAACACTTATACTAAATCTCATCTGCACCGGCGTTTCGCCGGAGGCCGGACAGGCGAGTCGCGCAGGAACTGGGGCAAAGACATAGACCCCAATCGACGGTCCAGATTCAGCGATGCTTATCCGACGGACGATTACTATGAAGAGGATGAGCGTGAGTTCCGGACCTCCACGAAGCAGAGGAAATGGTGGTCTGATGATTTTGATGTAGACGACGACGAAGAAGATGAAAGGTTTGGGGTACTCGAAGCTTCCATTGGGTTTGATTGGGTTCTTAAGGTTACTGGCTTCTCTTTCTCCATTTCAACTTCAATGTATCTATAGAATCTGTTATTCGATTGACTCTTGCCAAAAGTTGAAACTTTTTTGAGCTTAAATTTAATCACGAGTATGAAACACCATTAATGGTCTAATATAATCAGTTAAGCAAACCCCATTTTCTGCTAGTTGACAACTTACATTCTCACTCAGTGTGGGCCTTTTTATTTGGAAAATCCGAAGGCTAAATTCTAAAGTATCATCAGTTTTATTATCAATGAATTAGGTAAAACCTTATTGTATTGTGTAAAGCCACTATACAATGGAATTGAATTCTTTTTTTTTTCTTTTTTTTTTTTTTTTTTTTTGTGCGACCCTNTGGATGATTCCAGCTGTAATTGCCTCATTGGTGCTGGGGACAGGACCCAACTCGATTATCATGGCCATTGCTCTACCTCTTGCCCAGTCAGCACTTTCTATAGCAGCTGACACACTCTGGGGTACATTTTACGATTCCCCAAGAACAAAGAACAAGAAGAAGAAGAAGAACAAGCCTTTTGCTCGTATGAAGGTGAAAAGGGAAAAAGAAGTCCGGTTTCAATCAGAAAACGGGATGGAGAATTACAAATCGTGGGGAAATGGGAATAGGAGTCAATTTGATTTCGGTGGTTGGGATGAGCTGGACAAGGAGCCTCGGGTAAGACCTGTTAAACGTGAGCCTGAGGTGCAAGAGAGAGTTATCATAAGTAGGAGAACAAAGGGAGATACTCCACTATTTATGAGAATCTTGATTGCCATGTTCCCGTATTTGGGATTTTGGACCAGCTTATTCTGAGCACCCAAGGTTTAGCATGTTTGTTACCTTGCAGCAAATGTATTATAGTATAGGACTAGTTGAGTGCATATAACTAACCCTATTTTTTTTGGAAAAATAAACAAATGATTACAATCCTGTTCGTACTTCGTATGTAATTACGTTTTTATGTTTCTTAAGTCTAATTTTTTATTTGCGAGTGAATGCCTTGAGCTACACGAATTCTTGTGCGAGGAACGCCTAATCATTAAGTTAGTCTACCCATCATACTTTTTTTTCCTTTAAAGATGCATATTTATGCTATGCAATGTCATACTTTTGTTTAAGTTTGTTTTTAGAGTATGAATATGCGTGATTGATTAACCATTAGGCTTGCCCGCCTAAAAAGAGTCTCCTTAGTTTTTAAAGCTTAAGTTATAATACTTTTGCTTGATATGCTTAAGCATGGCTTCTATAAACAGGCTGCGGTGGAATGGAAGAAAAATTTAGTCTCAAGCATATTGACAGGGCAAGTGCTTGAGGAAAGCTGTATTAGGTTTTTCATTTTTAGGTTATTCGCTCGAAGTTTTCAGTTATTATTGGATTTGAAGAGACAGAGAAAAATGTGCCAAAGGCCTTGAATTGGTGGTAAATCTGTGAATCCATTTCCAACTATCTGATATCTAGTTGGGGTCATCATTCATCAATGACAAAACTCACTGAGGGCATAACCAAATTCAAGTATAGGACAATCAATGGTGAGGTTAGACAGCTAAACAATGAAACAGATAAAGACGGTTTGCTATTTAAAAGACTTGGTTAGTTAATTTAAAAGAACTCCTATGGCCACATACTTACTCACATTAAGATACCACTCATACTAAAAATGTATTTTTTTTAGTGTTAAACATGAATCCTCTGCATAAGCATGAACAAAGGCAAAATATAAATTCATGCCACACAACATGTGCCTGTTAAGCATCTTGTGACATCTTCACATCATGTCTGCAACACCGGTTTCTACTGCAACAGCGTTTGCCACTTTCATGGAAACTACTGCTCACTCTCCTTTTGACTTTAACTGTCCTCCAAGTAGGATAAGCCCTACAGCCGCGAAAGCAGACAAAACTGTAGATGAATAGAAAAGCGCCAAGAGAGCTCCACGCAGGGACTGCAATGGCCACCATTCAGCATTATCAGTTAAAGGGTGAGTTCAGCTGAATTGCCAGAAAACGAAATAAAATATTCTCCTGAGAAATAGCAAATAACCGCTCGAGATATATACCTAAACAGCAACTACAACCCATGAGGGATGATTTATAAATAAATACCAACATCCAATGGGTATCTGCAATATCTCAATTTCTTTATTCGTTTTTCCCTAGTATATAAACTGATCATCTTTAAACTAAATTATTGGGGTATGTGTCCCAATACGAAAAATTACAATATATATAGATAGTTATCAGACACCTTTGCAAGAAGTAATGCATTATCATTCGCATACTCCAGTGAGCTCTCGGGTATGCTTTGGATGCCTTGACTTACTTGCCATGAAAGTACCCTGTAATTGAAGTTTTAAAAGCGTTTTTGAGTTTTCTGACACCTGAGTCATTGAATGACAAAAGCTAATATGGACTGATAGCATTACCCGAAAATAAAGCCAATCAGAGCACCAACATATGCCTTTCCCGGAGTCAATTCAACCTGAAGCTCGCCAAACTGTTCAATATTTAAAACATGTTATAACTTAATGAATCAGAAAATAAATCTTGACTTTTCGTTTTCTTTTCTCATTTTCAAATACAAGACTATTTATATACACCTTTAGAACCCTGGTTTCAGGCTTTGCTTCCCCATTAGCTGCCTCCGTAACTAGATTTGCAGCCAATAGCTTTCCATTCTTGTTCATCACTTTAGCAATCTATGCTGATTTATAACTATGCATCAGTAAGTTTGATAAGGATATGCACAAAAATGGATGTGCAATCATTAGTTGTCAGTAAAACTTAAATTGTAGCACTGAAAACTGAAATCCATAAAAGCAATTATAAATCAGAGGATTGAATAAAATATTACCCTATATATTAAGCTTATTTAGTTAATTATGAAAAAAAAAAAAAATAGTAGTAAAATCCAGTTATGTAGCAAAATTATGAATACCCCTTCAGGGAAAAAAACCCAGTTATTCTTGAAGTTTTGTATTACCGCAAGGATACACCTACATAAAGTCAACGTACTAAAATGCAATTATTATAGGGACTACAATTTGAAGCCTAAACAGACTGAAAAGAAGAAACAAGGTATTTCGAGGAGAAAAACCTACATAGTGTCAAACCATATTATATATCATAACAAAGGATAAGGTAGAAAACACCGGAAAATTTACAATAAACCCCAAAAGGTTCAACTCAATACTGTTTTCAGTTCACCATGACCTTAACCAATTGAAGAAAATCATAAGAGGTTTAAGTCCATACCGTTTGTAGTTCACCTTGACCATACTGACCCATTGACTGGAACCTCCTAGATGCAGAAACCAAACGCTTTCCGAGTGCTAATTGCCAAGAAAAATAAAAATCATAAGAACTAGTCCAAACCAAACCAAACCAATCATGGGTATAATTTGAATGCTTGCCGGATTTATTGTTATTAGGGAGCAAACCCACAAACAGCGGGAGCTTGCTCATTAAGTTTGCTGAAGTTGATGTGTCAGCAAGTTCCCATGCTCGACTTATGTTTAACAATGTCTCACCTAACTCTTCGCCACACTGAAATACAAATTCAAGCAGACAAGTTTATTTATTGTGATTATCAAGGGTTAGCTTTTACATGCATTTGGTACAACTAAAACTAACCTGGCGTTGGGTGTATTTTTGGCGATTCTTCCTATTCACTATCTTAAAAAAAAAATTAAGAAATTCTGTCATATTTTTTTATTATTTTTTATTTGTCCTTTTATCTTAACTGTAAAAGCATCAATCAATGTGTTCAAGTAGAGGAAACAAGACGCTGACCTCATCTTTTACAGCACCGTTTGAAAGATCAAAGGCTGCATCATTCAGCTTCAACATTGAACAAATAAAATTGATAGTCAAGACTTTCGCAGAGGTGCAAGTTTCTTCTATCCAAAAGTGATGCAAGCGAAGGGGTGAATGAAGTAATAATGGAAAATCAGAAACTGTGTTCAACTTTTCAGAACAAAGAACAAACTCCAAAATACCAACCACAGTTTACACACAAGTTCTCATTATCGATCTTTGCACCCATATAATATAACTCAAAGCAGTGGTCCAAGAAATTCAACACCACACAAAAAGATACAAAGCTGGGAGCATAGATGGACTAACTAACGTTGATGTCATACATTAACTAAGAATACTTTGTGCTGGGGAAGAATCAACAGAATAGCAGCTAATAGAAAATGAAACAGATCCAAATTATCGATTCAGCCATATTGTACAATTTTATCCCACCAAATCAAGTTACCGATTCGGCCATACTGTACTATGCTTGAAGTGTATTCTTTACATTTGTTGCCTTCTCTATCTGGATAATCACTTTTTTGGATAATAACAAAAACAACCCTTGAGGTTCAGATTTATGACAAAAGAAATAAAACAAAAAATTCTCTAGTCACCTTTTCAAGATTTGTATTTACCTAACAAATAACCCCTTGCTGGCCATACACAGTAAAACAAAAAAGAAAAAGGAAAGAAACAAAACATCCAGAGGGTATTTCTAACGTTGAAAAGTAATTGGTTCTTTTAAAATTAGGATAAACCTCGCATCTTTTATAATCAAAACCAACTGTTTGTGGAGTCCAGTCACCGCAGAGCAACCCTTTTCTTTCATCCTTGCATTAGGTAAGTGCCTTTGAGGCATATAGTACATTTGTCACTGACTGGAACTTCAATAGCAACTAAGCTCCAAAAATCAATTCATAAGAAGCTACACTCCAACAATTCAAGTCCCAAAACCAGACTGTATATAGTAGTTACTAATCAATACCACATCAGACAGTAGAGCATATAACACATTCTAAACTTGAACTTACGTCCAGCCGAAGATCCTTTGGTAATTGGCGAAAATAATCATCTGGAAGAGCAAAACAATCCTTTCGAAACCAACAAAAAGGGAAAGAAAATTAGCAAATACACAAATGTATCATTAAGAGACACAGTATTCTATTCTGTTAACAATGGATTAAGTTTCAGGAAAAAAGAATCATAAAATGCAAGAATTTAGATACAAGACTATCTATTCTTGGATTCACACCGCAAGTTCTTCGAGGAGAATTCGAGGGTCAGAATTTGGGGAGTCGGATGATTGTGCGAGCGAAAATGAGATTATTCTAAGGGATTTAGATTTAAAGGATTTGTAGGGTGAGGTGGGGACATTGAGAGAAGGAAAAGAACAGTTGGGTGCATGAGCAAAGAAGATTTTGGAGGTAGGAAGAAGATGGAGAGCTGAAATGGCAGCAGCAGCCATTTTCGAAAGGTGTTTATGAAAATGAGCCAACGTGCTATCTTTGAAAATGAGTTTCCAAAGATAATCCTTTTTGCCATCAATTTTTTTCCCACTACAAATTACTAAAAATGGACATAATCACACAATCATGTTAGTCTACCCATCTCATCACTTTTAAAATAACACATATTAAACATATACATTCCTTTTGGTCATCCATTATGTTAGAGAATTGTGTCAAATAGCTTAATTCAATTATTTAGAATTGGCCAGCTTACCAAAGTTGATTGAATGGGAATTGTGTGGGATTGAGTTAAAATGTATATAATTGAATGGAAAATTTGAGTTAAAATGTAGAGTTTTTTTATTCTGAAAAAATGGCATATATTTTTCGATTATGAATGAATACGAAATAAATCTAATAATTAATGTTAATTTGAAAAAAAAAATGAGTAAAAATGATAGATAGTTAAAAATATGTGAGATGCTGAATATAAATTTAATTAGAAAATACATAGTAAAGGTTGATATCTATTATTTAACGGTACGGTTCCTGAGATTTCTTAATATCCGAGCCATATTGACCCATGGTCACCCCTACAACCAACATTTTATGTGTCCATTAATGACTAATTTTAATAATTTATTTATCACTCACTGAAAACCAATTTTGAGAAAATTAATGTAACACGAACAGCTAATTGGAATGTAGAATTTTTTTACACAATTTAATTCAACTCAAATTAAATATTTAGCCATTAAGAAATCAGTCAAAATCGGATCAAACTCAATTTTTTCATAGTTGATTTTTCAGCAGTCCCCTCCCAAATTATTGAAATTGGTTGTTGAAGGTGGTAGTTGGATTGAAGAAGAGCAAAACACATTCGATTCATTTAGACAAACAACCTTAACCTTTTCAAACACACTACTCTTTTACCAAACCCGGTTTAGATACAAGTACAACAATAGTTCATGCACTCAGATGATAGAGGTAATACGGATCGATCTATGTGAGCTTGAGTTGTGATGGGAGAGTTGCGAGCTAAGACGACCACGAATGATTTGACTATACCCGAGGTAGTGGAGTACAAAGGAGGGTTTGGAGAATCGACTTGAATGGTTACCTATGGAAGGATTTGTGAGTCGATCTTTGGAAGGATTTGTTATATACCTAGATCTGAAAAGATTTTGGTAACCTATAATTTTGAAAAGTTATTACATGTGCTTATATATATATATATATATATGATTACCAAATTTGAAAACTCTAACTTGTGATTACACTCAGTGCGAAATGCAAATACTAAATTATAGAGTTCAAAAACTAACTTGAGCATCGAAGTGTTTATCTCTGGAACCTCTCCCTGCAAATTGCAGGTTATTGAAACTTGTTCGTGAAGGTGATAGTTGGATTTCAAAAAAGCAAAACACATTTGATTCATTTAGATAAACAACCTTAACCTTTTCAAACACACTACTCTTTTACCAAATCCCCAACAACCTCGTCCTTAATGATTTCGTTCCATCAATAAAAACCTTGGGAAGAGGAACACATGATTAATTTAATACCAACACAAAAGTACACATATAACGACTCTCACTAAAAAGTTGGATTATGAGAGATACACTTCCTGAAACAACAAAACAACGAAACAACAAAATAATGTCTTGGCTTGCAGCCTGATACACTTATTTAATTAATTTGTTGAGGCATCAAAAATTGAAGGCTTTAGAAATTAATGGGTTTTGGTTTTCAATGAATCCAAAGCCATTATGGTGGTGAGGTTGAAAGGGTGCATGTAAGTATTGGATCCACCCAAGATTTGCTCCACAATAATTCTATTGGCTCGTTCGGATGGGTGAAAGGGATCCCAAAACGCGTACAAATCCCTATTGGGGCAAAGGTTTGATAGTGGCGTGCAAAGCCCAACCCCATTAAATGGGCCTTGTCCACAACATGCCATTTTTGATGTTGTAAATCCTGCCCACATTCCAAAACAAACTGTAGGATTAGAGAAATATAAATAAATAAAGGGGGGAAATATAAGTAATTGATAAGCGAAAAAAAGTTACCGAATTGTGCAGGATTAGAGATGAAATCCATATGCATTTGATTGGCATTAGCCGCGATGAAAACACTAGAGCCAACTTCTTGGTTGATTTGATCGAGCATTTGAAGCAATTGAGGGTTGTATATTGATGCAGCCTTTTGTAATTCTACCGAGCATTCTCCATTGTTGCTGCGTAGGGCCAATTCTGCCGGCACGCACCCTAATGGCCCGGTTCCCGTCACTATAACCCGACGGGCCCCAAGATCGTATAGTCTCTGCATCACCAAATCAATTGTTGACTGAGTTAAGATATGTTAAAATATAGTCGTCCCACATTAATTTTTTCACGAAAATAAAATGAGCATAGCTTATATGCCTAGTGCTATTCCTCTCGTCACCAATTAGTTTTGAGATGGAACCTTACTATGGTGCACCTATACCTACCCTTTTATGGTGCGGTTCATCTGCGTGGGATTGCACCCTGTTGTCTTGATTCTCTAAATCTTATTAGATATAACTAGTACAGAGCCCGTGCGATGCACGGGGTGCACAACTTTAAGGCTATTTATCTAGGCTTATAATTATATACATGAATAAAGAAAAATGTACGGGATATATATAGTACGTGACCCGTGCGAAGCACGAAATATATTTATTTAGAGAATATTATATTATAAGAATATTCAATAAAAGTTTATAATACGCAAGAAAATTGTACAATGTTCAATAAAAGTTTTATAATATTCAAGTGGAGTCTTAAAGTTTCTTGTACATTAAAACTACTGACAAAATAATATTTTAATCAATGAGTTTCCTTTCCTTGTAGCCAAATTGTGAATGTGATTTGAGGAGTACAACAAATCGATATATAGCTGACTTGTTTTTTTCATTGTAGTTTTTTTTCTTTTTTTTTTTTATAATGAATTTAAAGATATTCTAAAATATAGCAAAAATTAATTTTTTTATTACAATTAGGAATTTTACTAAATATAAACTCTTAATCTATGGTGTTAATCAACGTTTAAGTCTAAAAATTAGGAATTTTTACCTCTTTTAATCAATGTTTAAGTCTAAAAAACAATCCAGTTATTATAAGTTTTTTTTCTACATCTTTTAAAACATTAAATATGAGCATGTTATTGCTAGCTTGTAAAATAATTAATATATCATCTCACTAAAACATTTATACTAATAAAAATTTAATTTTAGCATATAAATTTATCCCTTTATATAAGAGAAAGTAACAGTTTTACTTATTGTTGTTCACCATATAATATTTAATTATTATTTTATTATATAATAAAAAAGAAATAGAGTTAAATAGTGTAGTAGAATTGTTATAAAATTATATGAATTTTTTTACAATATGGATTTATTATTTTTTTATGATTTGGTAATATAAACAAATCTATACTTAACTTTGACAAATAAAACAAATTAATACTTTAGTAAGTATTTAATGTATATACTAAATAGGAATATATTTGATATAATCAAATACCAAGTAATCAAATTATACTTATCTTTTTAAAATAAAACAAATAAATAAATAAAATGTAGTAAATATAGTAAATGTAGTAAATCAATTAAAATAGTAATGACATTTAATGCAGTTGACTTTTCTGGATAGTAAATGTAGTAAACAGAACTTCCTTTTATATAAATATAGATTGTATAATACGGAAATAGTAATGCAATAAATGTTGTTGACTTTTCTTTATACTAAATCTGGTAAATGGTATACCTTTTAATATAAGTATAGATAAAAAGGAAATTGCTACAAGTACATAATAAATGTACATAAATGTGTACATAACACTCACATGAAGTAGTGTCCACTTGATTTTTTATTTTTAGTAGGACTCACCTAATGTGAGTATTATGTACAACTCTATGTACAGTATTATGTACTTATAGCATTCCTCTAATAAAAATTGATACAATTATTATAAATCATTGAAGTGTGTGGGAGTGCACCCTCTTGCCCCGATTCTCTATACTAGATACAATAAAAATTAATACACCTTATAAAAATCATTGAATAAAATGGAAGCGAATTAAGGAATTAGACCTGTAAGACTTTTTTATACTCGGAGATGACAAAAGGGACGTAATCTTTGAGGACATATTGGCGTGACCTGGCAGAGTAAGGGACCAAATAATAGTTGTTGACAAAGTCATTACCACCTAACGTCATCAGCACCAAAGAATCCTCCACCAAATTTTTACTCTCTTCTTCTCCAATTACACTAATCAATCTCTGCTGGTATTGCTCAAAGTAACTCAATTGTTGGTAAATTCGAATAATGTTCACCTATAAATTAGAAAAAACAATATAAATTTCATCATGCACAAAACCGTTTTAGTTAATTAGATTAAAAAAAAAACTGTTCAAAATGTTAGGTGAAATTAATTATAAATTAGTCCCGATGCAAAAGAAATTAATTAAAACTTACAAATTGGATTCCAGTGTCATTAAGTACACCAACCCCAGCAGAGGCGAAGTTGGCACCAACAAGCAGTTTCTCTCCCTTAAGCTCTGGGCTTAGGTATGGCAATGTGGGCTCCCACCCCATTTTTTCACCTATATCAAAATTCACACACATGCACTTATATTCATTTTTTAACATTTATCAATCAGCTGAATAAATACATTACTGAGTTTTCGATGCTCTTAAATCTATTGTCAAAACTGTAAAGTTGCATGCCATCAAAAAATGATATATCCTTTTCCATGCATCATTGGAAGTAGCTAGATGCCTCACAAATAATTAATAAAATTAAAAAGTCATTCATTTAAAAAAAAGAAAAAAAAATCTTCAACTCTTCGCCCAACTTTAGAAGCGAAGCGTGTATGCAGCATAAAAAGTTGAAACATTACTAATTATATCCGGAATGTTAAGCCCATTTGAAAAACGGCCCGTGGGGCGATGGGTCGGGTAGTCGATGCCATAAGGTGGAGAATCTGCTCTGGCCGTGGTGGCTAAGTAATTGTTGTTTCCATTATCGACTAATGAGTCCCCAAACACGAAAAATGCCTTAGCTTCTACGCAACTCATTAAATCTCCCAAAATTGTCAAAAGGAATACGAAAAAAGCAAAACTGCTTGAATGTTGCACCAACTTGGACATTTTCATGGCTCTTCAAAAAGGGAAAAAGAAAGGTATGATTTTTTTTTTCTTTTTGCTTTTTGGGGACTTACGAATTTTTTGTGCTTAAAATGGTGCAGGGATCGGTTCCTATATACGCGTGAAAGCTCTCAACTGTAAATGGCTGGTGCAGTTACTGGTTAAAGGACAAAGAATGACTAATTTCCAGTTAGTAAATAATAAAGGAAAATAGTCATAATCATTAAGAGGCCTATTAAATTTAAAATCAGCTACAAATGGTATTAATTAATTTGACAGTTGTTTGAATGCACAATGCTATATGTATAATTATATAGCTGACACATTAGTTATTGTTTATAAATTTTCATTGATTCAAATTTTAGCCCAACATTTATTTGCATCTCAACTATCCATATTACTAGTATTCGATCATGTACATTTGCATATATATAAATAATGTATTATAAGTTATTGGGTCACGCTCCGGTGAGAATGGTAGTCAATGAAAGAAATGAGAATAAGTCTTGGTCATTGGATTAAATGATCCAGCCGCTCAAAATAGTCCAAATTGTCACACTTATTAAGGGTAGGTTAGTAATTATACCATTACAATCAACTAACCAACAGGTGGGGCCCACCAAACCTGCTTCCACTCTCCCCTCCCTCACGCACAAAACACACACTTTTCCACGCGCTCACACACACACACACACTCGCACACACGGACACGCACACAGAAAGAGAAATCAATCAAATCATCACCGTCCGTCCGTTGCTGCCTACCGACAGATCCACCACCGTCCCGTCACCGGCAGTCCGGCCGCCTCCGTTAGTCAGAGCGCTGCTCGTACTTCTCCGTGCAGTCAGAGGCGGTGGCGTCGTCGAGATCCAGCAGCCGTCGGCGGACGAGATCTGCCATCAGCTTCAGTTCGCCGCCTCAAAGAACCGTCTCCACCGCCGCCTGGCAGACGCGCCGATTTGTCGCTACCTACCGACTGATCCACCACCGTCCCATCGCCGGCAGTCCGGTCGCCTCCGTTAGTCAGAGCGCCGCTCGTACTTTTCTGCGCGGTCAGAGGATGCGTCGTCGTCGAGGTCCGGCAGCCGTCGTCCGACGAGACCTGCCATCATTTTCAGCTCGCAGACATTTGGATGAATTTTAGATTTAGGGGCATTGTTTTGAGAATTTGATACTTTACATGGGTTTAAGTGCAATTTTATAAATTATAAAATATTTCAATTTAGACCTTGGGTCAAATGTGTAATTAAAAGTTCAATAATTCACAAAAAATTATTGAGTATAAAGTGTGCATTATAACATGTAGGCTTACACAATAAAAAAATACACATTATTAATGTTTTAAAATTGAAAATGCACATAAAAAATACTTGATTGATAGGTTGCACAATAATGTTATACGGAATGCACATTATTGTTTGTCTGAATGCATATTATTGATGGCAAATTATTGAAGTTTGAATATATTTTAATTTGGTACATGCGACAAATGTGTAATTTACAGAAATTTTAATAAATGTGTAATAAAATTGCAAATTCAAATTAGGGAATTAGGGTTTCATTGAATTAAAAATTAAGTAAACAAAATAGATAGTGTTGAGGAACAATTTTAGAAATTTATTAATTTTGAGTATATTTTAAATTATTACACGACCAAATATGTAATTTATAGCAATGTTTACATAAATTCATATTAATGATAAATAAAGGGTACAATGCTTAAAAATTTAATATGTGAAATTTTAATATATAAAAATATTATAATAACGAATATACCTGTATAATAATAAATAGTAAAATATTTTAATTATTTAGGTTAATTCGATATATAATTATACCTACTAGATATATTTTTCAAAAACACATATTTTATATGTGATCATATAAAGTATTGTACTTTATATATCAACATTTTATATAGCAGCATGCTGCACTTTATAAAACAATACGTTGCACTTTATGAAACAACCCGTTGCACTTTATCAACACACTCCACGATTAACGTCAATAGCTCCCGCAAAAATACCACAACAACATACATGTGAAAAAACGGATACACATAATAATTTAACATTAATAACATCATTTATCCCACAAAATACAAGCATGCTAGCGTATCAAAATTACATCAGTTTACTTTATACATTAACACGTTGCACTTTATAATTTAACAAGTTGCACTTTACAAAACAGCACGTTGCACTTTATCATGACTATCAGAGATTGAAACTGACCAACCTTAAAGTTTTTCAACCAAAAATAATAAATAAAATTATTAACGTTTTTAAACAGTTTTTCTTATAACATAAAGTATAATTTAATTCAGATTTTTTTTTTTAATTCGGCTAACCGCCCGAATAAACCAAGTACTTCTATTTGATTTTAATTTGGTTTGGCATAACCGTTCAATCGGTTTAACCTTTCCAAAACTTTGATTATTTCAATTTTAGCATTTCGGTTAGTCGGTCAACCGAACCAACGAATGAAAATTATTTTGCATTCTACAGCACGTTGATATTTTTGCATTTTTTTTAGTTTTTTAATGTACATATAGACACACTATTATGCAAATTGATTATCATTTCGTTGTGCAATGCACTAAACAATAAAGTGCAATGTGTTGAATGGTAATGTTCAATCCAGTAAATCGTAATGTGCAAATATCGAATTTTTTAAGCATGAAGAATTTTTAGTAAATTATATATTTAACCTACAAACTAAATTGAACTAAATTGAAATAAATTAAAGTTTTTGAAATTACAATTAAGTCCTTAGGACTTGTCAAATTTTCAAAACATGCCCCTCCTTTTGTAAACTGGTATCCTCTCACAGCAATCTCCTCTGCTCGTCGTCGGCGACCTCGCTCGTCCATCTCACAGCTTTCTCCGGCGACTAACATCCTCGAGCTGACACTATCCTCGCCGGATCTGGTCCCACAGGTCCGGCGGCCATTTTTTTTTTTCTCTTTTTTTTTTTTTTTTNCTTTTTTTTTTTTTTTTAAATTTTTTGTGGCATCTACGTACCTTGGTTTTTGGCATTCTCGACCACAACAGTATTCTCGCAGCCATGGCGGAGAGACGTGGTCACGTCGCCCGACGGGAGATGCGACGGCGAGAATATGGCTGCGTTCCACAGAGATTCTGGGCGAGAATATGGCAGCCGCTCTTGCCGGCGTGAAGCTTCGGGCGGATTCTGACGGCGGTCGTTTCTGGATGCCCGTCATTCTTGCGTGTGTCCGGCGAGGCGACAGTCTGTGGCTGACCGGCAAGAAAATTGGGGCGGAGGCTGACGGCTGAGGCACGGCGGCGAGAGTCGTGCTGGTGGCTGCAACGGGTGGTGGTCCGACGGTGGCGGCAGACGTGCTGTGTGTGTGTGTGTGTGTGTCTGTGTGTGTGTGTGTAGATTTGAGATCGATTTGTGAGGAAGGAAGATGAAAAGAAAATAGATAATTAATTGATGAGTGGGTCCTACACATATTATTGGTCAAATACACATATTTGACCATACTATGATCAAATAATTACCAGATTGCCATTAATGATTGACCATAGTTTGACTTCATCATAACCATTGATATGCTTGATCATATGGTCCAGATTTATTCTCATTTCTTTCACTATCTACCATTCTCATATGATCCTAACCCATAAGTTATTTATATGCATATAATATTAAAATTATAAGTTAGAAAATAGTATTAATTTTAAACATAGAATACTATAATACATATTTATGCAAATAATATCAAAATTATAAGTTAGATAATGATATTGTATTTTAAATTTTAATCATTGGTTTAAAAAATAGTATGTAATTATTTGATTGCATATGTATTGATTGCATAAAATGTAATTAATAATATAATATTTATAATTTTGAGAGATTATGACCAATTAATTTGCTGAAAAATATAAAATTTATTATCTTATGTGATTTTGAGGGATTTTAAGTTTTACAATAGAATTTTTTTATGTATATGTAACTTTCATATATCAGTTAGTGTAAAATATAAGTATTAGTTCTAATACTAACTATTATATGATATAATAAAAAAAAAAATATAACTATTACTCCATTAATATAAAATATAACAGTTTTTGTCTTAATTAACAGAATCAATTTTTGGAAAGTTAGGTGGCACGTAGGTAATTTATGAGGTTTTATTTAATGGATTGCTAGCAATTATATATATACTTGTATTCGACCTATGTATTTGCAGAGATATAAATAAATATTATAGTTATTTCTAATATAAGTTAGGTAATAGTATTATCTTTTAAAATTTGAGCACTAGTTAAAATAAATAGTACATAACGATTTGATTGAATACTAATCGCTATATAATTGATTGCGTAAAATGTAATAAATAATGTAATATTTTTAATTTTGAGGGATCATGACCAATTAATTACCTGAAAAATATTAAATTTATTATAACAAGTGCTTATGTGGTTTTAAAAAATTTTACTATGCCAATAAAAAAGAATCGCTTAATCAGATAAAAAAAATATATTGATTTTAGAATAAATAACTTGAACACAAAGTTTTTGCAACATAATCTTTTATGCTTATTTACTTTCATATATCATTTAGTGTAAAATATAATTACTAATTTTAATAATAAGTATTATATGATTCAATAAAAAATATAAGTATTACTCAATTAGTATAAAATGTAATGATTTTTGTCTTAATTAACTACTATACTGCTTTGTGATTTATTCATAAGTACTATATGTTGCTTGTGCCCTGAGTAGACGATGTAGAAATTTGACGTCAATATTGAAGGAAAGAAAAATCGTGTCTGGCCTGATTGAGCCCTATTGTAGAAGAGCAATAGAACATCAAGTACGAAGAATATTTAACAATTATTTATAATTTTTTTTTTATTAAAGGAAGGGCAAAAATGTAACGACAACATAATCGATTGCTAACTATTATTATCGAAAGTTGTAAACACTTATGTTACTCCCTCCATTTTGAAATATAAGGCATTTAAGGTTATTGCACAAATATTTAATAGACTTGATATACAACGACACAAATTCAACCAAACTAGGTAACT